ATCTCAGAGTAGGGAAGAAGAGGAGAAGCAGTTGGGATTTGTACGATCATAAAAGGGAACGAGAGCAGAGATGAACGGGGAACTAAAATAGAATGTGTCTTTAAAGGAATTTTGATCTTGTCAGTGTCACTGCTCAGTCCCGTAGTGTTAGAAGCCAGTTTAAGCGTAGACTGCATTTACACAAAGTTACACCTGTGGCTGTCTTTTCAGCTGCACAGCTAGATAGACAGGCTCCTTTTGTGTTCCCCTAATCCTTCAAAAGGTCGGGCACTTTTCCAGTTCCCAGGTGCAGGTTATAGCTGTCTGAAAGATGTTTTAACATGCACCAGCTGCTAATGGTCCCAACAGGCTATTACTATTTCACGGGATTGCTGTAGAGATCCAGCCATATCTCTATAGTGGCAGCTGTATGGTGGGATGGCTTGGGTCTCTTCTGAAGCTCTGAAATGGCAGGGTTAAATAGAGGAGATTTTCTGGCAAATAAATTAGGGATGCTTTTTGCTGATGGCCCAGTTTAGACAGAGAATTAGAAGCCTCTGTAAAGTGAATGCAAGTGTTTTATTTTCATAGTAAATATACCTTAAAGGAACCCTCCAATGTTTCATTCTGTGCAACATGTCTGGGTCCCATGAGATTTTACCTGCAAGGTTGCAAAAAAATAGAAAAGATTTCTATACGACTATATTGCAAAAAAATAGAAAAGATTTCTATACGGCTATATCTACACAGCAAAGATATTTCAAAATAACAGCCCTTATTTTGAAATAACTTTCATAGCGTCTACACAGCCAAACCGCTATTTCGAAATAAATTCGAAATAGCGGAGTGCTTATTTTGAATTTCGTAAACCTCATTCTACAAGGAATAACGCAAAATTCAAAATAGTTATTTTGAAATAAGTGCTGTGTAGACACGTATTTAGAAATAGGAGGCCTCCAGCCTTCCCAGGGTGCCCTGGTGGCCACTCCAGCCTCAACCAAGAACACTTCTCTCCCTCCCCAGAGCCCTTACATGGGTAGACTCTGGCCACAGTGCCTGTGCTAGCTCCAAGCCTGCCAGCCCAGAGCCAGGAGCCCCTGCCCCCGCCCCCGTGGCCCCAAAACATGAGCCAGCAAGCCACTGGCAGCCAGGCCTCCACCGCTCCCCGGGAACAGTCTGCCAGCTCTCTGGAGCCTCTAGGGCCCAAAGAAGGTGGGAGCCTTCCTGGTCCAGGGTGGAGATCATGGACCGTATTCAGGTTTGGGGGGGATACCCCCAACGTCCATGATCTCCGCACTAGACAGAGGAACACGGCTGTCTATGGCAGGATAGCTGCCAGCCTGGCCACCAAAGGCCACATG